GAACAATTTGAAAGCAGGGACCAAGGAAATTCATCTATGAATCCCACTGCGGAATATGTACCTATCAATCAAATTCTCACTAACATGTAAATGGATGATAGGGAATCATCTGTTACTTTCATCATGGGATATTTTATTTTAGAGACAAAGTCCTAAGCCAGGGATTCAAGTTACCATGACAACATTTTCAGAATTAACAAGCAGGAAGAACATTTATTTTCTGTATTGGAGCGGGTGTGCTTTACCCCTGAAAGCCATGTGGAGAACCTGCCTACTCATTAAGCTGAATGCATCAACAGCTTGAGTGCTTCCAAAGGAAAGGGACTAGGTCATCTTCTTCTGTATCCCCAGCCCTGCCACGTGGCCTTCCACTAAGTACCCAGAACCCAGGAGAAGAAAAGGGCTAATATTGGCAGAAAATGAGCTAAACTGAGATTCCTGGTGAACTGCCCAGAAGATGAAATCCTTTTCTTTTACAGCAACCACGGCTGCAATTTCCTTGGCTGGCATAGGGCAGAAGTAGGTTATCACAGCATGCCACCTGCCTGTGGGGCCCAGCCAGAAATGCTGTTCAGTCCTTGCCAGCTCATCTCAGGACCAGAGCTGGGTGAGCTATTGTGTGTAGAGAGGCCTCTGCCAAGTGCTCCCCCAGCTATAATTAGAATATTGCAAGGGGGTTTATTTTTAAGAAACACGAGCACTAGGATGATGATTCAGCCGGGTCTGCACTTGCCCAGAACCTCTCATCGGATCCAGGGTTATTATTTTAGACTAATATATTTCTCCAACCCCACCCCCCTGCCATCCTCCTCCAAACAAGGCAAAGAAAGGAAAGAATTTTCTTTTTTCAAGATTCTCAGGCAACATTTTGTCTTAGGGGAAAGAGAGTAGAAAACTTTCCTTTGACTCACTTTGCAGGAGGAACGATATCCGCACGCAGGGATAGTCCCAGCCTCACCTGTTGTGAAGTGAATGGACTCAGAGTGAGCTAGGGTGAAAGCTTGATGACCTGACCCCAAGGCTACGCTTAACCCCAATGATGGTCTGCATTCCCGCAGCCAGGTGGACAGAGGCTGCTCAAAGCAGGAGGTAGGCTGGGGAGAGCAGGGTGGTGGCTCCACAGAGAAGTTATTCTGTGAAAAATCCTACTAGTCTCCGCCACTGCTACCTCAACTTTGACAGTTGCACACCAAGCCCTTCACACTCTGAGGCAGCCTCGGTGCAGAGGAAGAGCTCGGCCCGACCAGATGGTGCCATCTGTGCAACCACAAGAAGCCTCAGAACCAGAAAGTGATGGAGCGGAGACATCAACACATCCCAAGGCTGAACATGCATAGGAGTGTATCTGGAAGAGATGAGGTTTAAGAAAAGAAATAGGAAGAGGAGAGGAAGTTCACCAGGTTCCCTCAACCACCCAGTCTCTCTTCCGCATCTCTGACCGAGGGCCATATCTGGGCACATGTGCTGGCAGGTGCTCACCCTCACACAGAAATACAAAGGCCAGACTGGCGGTACAGCCTGCAGGCTCAGGAGTCCAGGAAGGGATGTGTGGGAAAGGTGCCACTCTACCGTTAGACTCTTAATCCCGATGTTAAGAGTGTGGAAGAGATTAAACCAGGGGTGCTCTCGGCCCAGCATTTACAAGTTTAAGCAAAGACCCCAGGGCCCCCATTCTTGTGGAGTCTGGCCGGAATCAGGTCAGACCAGGCCCCGATTTAGCATACACTGCCTATCTGGGTAGGCCGCAGAGGCACAGCATGGCCTCAGCTAGACCGACACAGGGATGAAGGAAGGTTCATTCACACCGGTCACCCTCATTCCAGGCCAGTCCGCTCCTCCCTCACATTCCTTGCTTCCCTGAATGGAAGGCACCACTGCTGGCAGCTGCCAGGGCAGACAGCTGACATTGCTATGTAAACGGAGGCCTCAGCCAAGACGGATTCGGCCCAGAAGAGATTTTTCAGCCGGTGCCCATCCCTTTGAGCTCTCCCCAGGCAGGAGACTCTGGCCATAGGCCAACTGTTGGAGATTCCAGGGCACAGTTTCCAGGCTCTGATGTCACTTCTCCTTTCTGGGACAAGAACCCCTCAGCTCTAGGAAACCTCACCCTGTCTGCCCTTGTCTGACCCTGTGTGACCCTGGGGAGCTCACAGAGGCTCCTGGCTCACTCTGTCTGAGGTGGTCTTTTCTGATGAGGCCCATCACTCCATCAAGCATCCCTGGGGACTTTGGGCCACATGAATTTCCCTGGGGGAACTGACCAGGCAGTCAATGGAGTAGAAACTGCCCCTTCACCATCTTGGAGGTTTAGCTTTTCCCTTCATAGCCTTCCTAGTGTTGTTTGTTTGTTTGTTTGTTTTTTGTTTTTGTTTTGTTTTGTTTTTTTGATTCCCTCTACTTTCCACCCTAAGGAAATCTCCTTTTCCCACTGGGGATATTTCTCACTTGGGATCTAAGGAGAATTACTTCTTGGGCACCAGTCAATGTGATTAGACCATGGAATCAAATTTTCTCGATGACCTCATTAAAACAACCTCTGCCCTCACTCAACCAGATGTCTGGACATACGTAATCCTTCCTGACAGAATGGAGCAGGAATCCCATTGTCCAGCTAGAGGCCCTGCAGTGAAAGGAGATGGGCTTTCAGGGCTTACTAACCTCTGGGACCCCCAGGGTGTCCAGCAGGGCAGACAGAGCCTACTGGAGCCATGAACTGCCACAGAGATTGATGATGAAGAAGGGAAATCAAAGAGGAAGAAAAGGGGAGGCAAAGAAAGATGACCAGCAAAGAAAACAGGAGGAGGGACAGCGGGAAAAAGCAGCCACACAGGGGAGAGAAGATGAAGAGGTTCTCATGGGTCCTCAGGAACATTGGCCTCAATTGAGAAAAATGTTCCACATGGTCACTCTGGCTGCAAAACCAGAAAATCGCTATCTGCTCACTCCAATTCGCCCAGGGCCAGGTCATAGGCAGCAAGCCAAGAGTCATGAACTGTCAGAAATGGAAAGGACCTCAGAGAGCGCTGAAGCTTCCCAGCGAGGGCGCTGTTGGCATTTGAGGTGGAACGGTTCTTTATTGGGCAGGGTGGTCCTGGGCTTTGCGGGGCATTCACGTCTCAGACCCCCAGCCCTAACAAGGAGCTTCCTCACTTTACCGAGATGTGAGAAGCAAAAACTTCCACCTCCCACCACATTTCTAACCCTCCTCTCCCAGAGCTGACCCAGTTGAGAACCCCTGGGAACACCCCTCAGTGAACAGCTGCAAGGGTTCCGAGGCCCAGGGCTGGGAAGGAGTTGGTTTAAGTTCACAGATGGCCTTTGAAACATGAATCGCAACCTCCCTCTCCCTTCCTCTTTACAAACCACAGGAAAAAACTTGACAATTCAGTGTAGTAGGTGCTTTAAACACTCCCAGGGGAGCGGAGTGTAAGAAAGGACCCGTGGGTGGAAGGGTGGGGGAGTCCTGGTTTCCCCCTTGAAACTTGGTCTCAACAGATGCTACACAGTCATCTTCACCTGCCCTCCCACTCAGCTGATTCTTGTCAACCCAGTGACACTGATCCTTCTTTCAAAAGGGATTATTTAGACAAGTGCAAAAATGGAGAGGAATTCAAGGCTGGAAGTCGCTCCAGCTGGAGGGAGGAGGTGGATGGGGATATAATGCCACTAAAATTATCCATGGCAGACAGGGACTGGGACCCCACAGCTGATGGGCCTCTCGCCTGTTATGGTAATTTTCCACCCTTTGGGCCCCTCCCAGGCTTCCTTATGACACCCAACACATTTAGAAATGACGCGATGGCCTTATGTAATGCTGACAGAATAGCACAGCGACAAGAGTCACCAAACCCTAGTCCTGGCATCTTACAGTGAGATTCCCGGAGTTTGTGCAGTGATTGGGTCAAGACCGTATTTGTCACTTTCTCATTTCCTCGCCAAAAGCAAGATTACCTGGAGAAAAGCCTGCTTGGCAAAGGCCACGGGTGGAAGCTGAGGGGCTGCCTCTCTCCAAACATACCTCCAGGAATGCGGCCGCCCTGGGTGGAGTGTGGCAGAATGGCAGGAGCTGGAATCTAGAGAGGGAAGCTGGGGCTTGGCGCTCCAGTTCTTGTGGCTTCTCACAGCCCTTCTTATTCTCACGTCCCGCACCTCTCTTCCCCCTCCTACACGGTAGCCCCTGCAATCCCTTCCCCAGCCCTGCAACTCAGAAGTCAAGGTTTCAGAGGAATTAGGGAGAGAATCTTTCCTCCTGGAACACCTCAATCCGTTCGAAACTTCAGCTGAGATATGCGCCCTCTAGGGTTCCCTCCCAACCTCCAAGCGCTAGAGAGAGAGAAAAGAAGTGGCAGGGGTTTCTGCCACCAAGAATAACCATGGCCTTACTGGATTTGCACATACAAAATTGTCCACGGGCACCTGCAAGCCAACTGGGCTCTGTGGATGGTCAAACTCTTCCAAGGCCACTTGGCCCTAGCTGTGGGGAAAAAAACCCCGAAGACTCTGACCTGCTGGGAGCAGTTTAGGAAGGAGGACTTTTGGGAATCAATGTTTACCTGGGAGGAAGGACTCCGGGGCTGGGGCATGAGTCAGGGGGATTCTGAGGCAGGTGGCAGTCACTCTTCACCTTTTTTGAAAAGTTTATGATTTCACTGAACCATGAGCCGTCACCTCCGTGCTCCTGGGGCTTTCCCCACGGGGGGCTGGGATCGACTTTGGGGCATGAAGGGAGGAGGGTGATGGAAGAGAATTCCCCTCTTCCTGCAGGTCTTCCTTCCTGACCTCAAGTGACAGACCACTCCCTTCCCCTGGTCTTTCTCCCCATTCCCAGGTCCAGTCTGATGTGCCAGCGGGGTAGGAGGGGAGCGGGAGAGCTTTGCACTCACAGCTGGCGCAGCCTAACAGCTGTCCTCTGCAGGCGCAGGGGTGCTCACTTGCCTTGGCTGCGTGACAAAGTAGTCAGAGATTAGTGTATGGGCATGGCCTAGGGGATGAAGGACCGGAGGCCCCGTCTGGCCCCCAGGAGAGTGACCAGTGGGCACCTCCCAGAATGACTTCACTGGAGCCCAAACATGGGAGCCAGCGCAGGGTCAGACCCCCTAACTTCGCCTCCACAACCTCATTATCCAGAGATCCAGGTGACACTGGACAAGGCTGAGCCCCTAAATCACACCCAATGGCTTTATCTGACCCTCTCAACAGACCCAGTACTTTCAGCCAGTGACTGTTATTTTTTAGGGTCAACCACCAACTCAGTTTTCCCATTCTGATTCATCAAACACAGGGGGAGGCCTGCGGCTGAAGCAAATGGTACATGTCAAAGAGTGGTCCCCGGACCAGCAGGATCAGCATCATTAGAAACACAGGTTCTCAGGGTCCATCCTACATCTGCTGAATCAGAAGCTCTGGGAAAGGGGTCCGCAGTCTTCTGTTTCAACAGACCCTCCAGGTGATGCTGGTGCACACTCAGAGTTGAGAACAGCACTGCAGGATCTATCTATCTGTCCTCAGCTGGGCCCTTTCTTCAACTCATTCACGGCAGGATAAAGGCCACTTAAGGTACAGTCCTTCAACTTCTACCTCCTCATGTATGTCAAGCTCTCCCTAATGTCCCCCCTTCCTTTGCTCCTGCCCTCTCCCCCACCCACCACCTTCTAAGCCCTCTCTGTAGCCTTCCATCCCATCTGACCCCAGCTGCTCATATATCTTGCTCCATTCATCCCTTTGTTCTTGAACATTCATTTCTTTCTCCTGGTTATTTTCTCTATGTGTCCAAAGACACTCTGGTCTCTTCCAATTCTAGAAAGACAAAAGCCCCAGGGGAACTCTACAGAGTTTACAAACTACCTAGAATAATCTGCTCTAAGTCCCCTGTCCCCTTACACAGGTGAGGCACAGAGAAGCAGCTTGCTCAAAGCCACAAGCTGGTTCATGCAGAGTTGGAGTCAGAAATCAGGTTGCTGCATCTCTGTTCAGGGCTCCTTCTTGAAAAACGAATCCTGGCCTGCATCAGCTCCATCAGCTCTCATTCTCACTCCCTTTCCCAGGCTGGTTCCAGCCCCTCAGCCCTCTCAACACTGCCTCTCTAAATGTCACCCCAGTCCATAGCGCTTCTCCTTCCCCCACTACTTTCCCCTCTCCCCCTTGAAACTCACCCCTCCTCACCTTGTTGCAGCCACTTCTCATCGTTTTTGAAAAGCTTATGTTTTCACTGCTGAGCCATGAGCCATCACCTCTGTGCTTCTGTGCTTCCCCCAGTGGGGCTGGGGTCCACTCCGGGGCATGCGAGGCAGGAGGAGAGTCGCCCTCTTCCTGCAGGTCTTCCTTCCTGACCTCAGGTGACCACTCCCTTTCCCTGGTCTTTCTCCCCATTCCCAGCCCACTCTGGTGTGCCAGATGGGCAGGAGGGCAGAGGGCAAGTGGTGCCCCAACACCAGAAGGTAGCTTTGCACTCACGGTAGCTTTGCACTCTGACAGCTGTCCTCTGCAGGCGCAGGTGCGCTCACAGTCCTGATCCATCCTCTCCCTCTCTGACTGTTCCTTTTCCATCTTCTGTTCTGCCTCTTTTTCTTGGGCTTCCTCAGGGCCTCGTCATCTTTTTTTTTTTTTTTTTTTTTTTTAAGAGGGCCTCACTCCTTCGCCCAGACTGGAGTGCAATGGCGCTATCCAGGCTTGAATTGCCAGGCTCAAGAGATCCTCCCATCTCAGCCTCCCAAGAAGCTGAGACTACAGGCATGCATCACCATGCCTGGCTAATCTGTTGTTGTTGTAAAGACAGGGTCTCCCTATGTGGCATAGGCATGCTGGTCTCAAACGCCTGGGCTCAAGCAATTATCTCTCCTTAGCCTCCCAAAGTGTTGGGATTACAGGCATGAACCACCACGTCCAGCCATTTCTTTTTTCTCTACTTTCTTTGCTCACAGACTTATCTGGCTGTCATTTCAACTGGCAATTCTAAGTAGATGGCTCCAATACAACCTTTATCCCCTAGCTTCCTCAAACTCCAGGTCTGCATTTTCAGCAATTCCCCTGATGTCAAAGATGCACTCCACATTCCATCATCCAAACTCAAACTCTCCTTCCTCCACATTTCCCAAACAGCCACCACCACCTCCTGACTCCTGACATCATCCTGTTACCATGGTTTCTAGGATCTTTACCATCCCCTTGCATTTATGGTCACATTTCCTGGCTAAAGACTCAACATGGCCCTGTGAATGCAATGTCCCTGTGGATCCGAGTAAAATGGATCCACCAGAACTAGTCTTCAAAATCAATAGCCGCCATTCTGTGCAGGAATCCACGGCCAGGCGGAATGCTTGGGCCTTCATGTGCTCTGGATTCTAGAATCTAAAGGGAAGGGCAGGCTTTTATAGACTGCTCGACATTTGCTGAAGATTGGGAGCTCCTCAGGGAATGACTCAGCCCTCCTTGGGCAAAACAGATAATAAATCAGACAAAATCAGTTGTTTTATGAGCAGCTTGCTATTGCTGGATCACTCACTCTATGCTAAATGACCCTCTGGGAAGGGTTTCTATGTTCATAGTCCTCTGAGACAACCACTACTTTGTGCAGCGACAGCAATTAATGGATGTTTGAATCAAAGCGAGAGAGAGAGTAAGGGCTAAGGTTAGGGTCAAGGGTCAAGGGCAGTGGCTAGCATCAGGGGGAGGATTGGGGTCAGGAGGCCACGTGTGAAAGGTCGGAAGCCATCCTGCTCCCTACAAGGACAAACCTATGCCGAAGCCATTCTCATCTTCAGCCTCTCTTGCTACCGGGAACACGTGACCTCTCACCCTCTTTTCCAGCCCAGAACGACAGCCATTGTCACCAAGGCCCTCGTGGCAGTAGCTGCTGAACCCAGGACTGGCTTTAGGATGTGGAATGGGGCAAGTAAAAAACCATCCTTGGAAATGAAAGTACTTCGTCCCGTCCTGTTCTTCTGAAAACAGAACCCTCCCCGACTCTGCCCTGCCACCTCCCAGAATCAGATGAGCTGGGTTTCAGCCCCACTTCCCACTGACCAGTACAGAACTTACAAGATAACAAGCCCTTTTTGGGTCCTGGTTTCTTCACCTGAAAACAAAACTTGTAAAATGTTCCCTGCTCACTGTACAGGATTGATGTGGCGATGATAATGTGCTTGTGTGAACACAGTTCACTGTTGACAAGTCACTCTCGTTACATCATCTAACTGGATCTTTACAAACCACCCTGTCAGATAGGTGAGGAGAGCATTTTGATATTCTTTCATGGATGAGGAAACCAAGGCTCCCCGAGGAGGAAGGATGTGCCCAGCTGCACAACTAACATGTGACAGAGTTGGGATTCAACCAAGCCCCCCTGTGCTCTGCGCCACATGGTCCCAGCATGGCAAGAGGCTGGGTGACACAGCATGCTGCTACTGTTAGAAAAGCAGTGTTTTTTCCCAGGATGGCTATCGTTCAAATATTTGCCAGCAGATAATCACTGGTGAATTTGGGCATCCCCAGCATCTCCAATCCGTCATTGCTTAAGTGGGTTATTTTGACCTAAGAAGTAGACGTGGGATCACTGGCCTCAGGGCTGAAACGGACAGGGTAGAGTTAGCCAAGGAAGAAGATGAGCTGGTGGGTGTTTCTGACACCACCGTCCACTGATGGTTATCACACTTTCTGCTGGGTACAGAGGACTACAGAATTTTAGGAGAGTTCATAAATTCTAACAATCCCATTTTATGGGTGAGAAAAACTTATGCCCAGAAAGATAACAAAGACATCCCCAAGCAGCTGAGCCGGTTCCAGCCCCAGGTTTCCTAATTCTAAGTCCGAAGCTCCCTCCGGGCTGCCTGCATTTCAGGCTATTCTTCACCTCATTCTGCCTAGGACTTATCCTTCCATTTGTGTGTGCAACTGACAGCACAGAAGTGGCAATGGGGGTGATGTGCACAGCGGATCCTTTTCCATAGACGTCCCCTGAATGAGGGGCAGTCCTCTTGGAGATTGCTGTCTGGTTCAGATGCCGGGCCCAAGACACAGCTTTGTCCCCATGGGCCAGGACAACCCCTTGAATGTGTGTGTTTGGCTTTGAGTTGGGGAAGAGGAAATATTACTCACGACTTGTCTCGCCTGCCGAGCCTCCTCGGGGGGCTTGCCTGTCTTCTTCTGGGGGACAGGGATTTTCCCCGGCTTCTCACTTGGGTCGGAGAGTGGGCACTTGCAGGTTTCAGGATCTGAAGGAGATGTGAGGAGTTAATCACCCTGGTTCCTAAAGGATCTCCAGCCTCACGTCTTCTTCCAGCACCGCATCCCACACCCCCAGCCCAATCATGACGCCATGGATTAGAAGGCACTGAGCAGGAAGATTTCTAAAAAAAGGAGGCTGGAGACACACACGTTTCTCTCTTGTCCTGTACTGTCAAGCAGCAAGGGCACCACTTCTAAGACGGATATACAGATGGTCACATTGTGCCCCGTGCCGTGTGGAGAGAGGAACACGGCCCAGTGCCTCAGCCCCCACACCGGGGCTGTGTTTATCTGCTTGGCAAGTTCCTCTCCTCATGAAGGCAAAGTCCCATCTACATTGCCCCAGAAACCAGCTTGTTCTTCCTCTGATGCTCCCATCCCACACACATGACAGAATGGTTTTAATTGACCAGGAATCGTCACTCCAGGTCCTGCAGACTGAACATGACAAGTCCACCAGTGCTAAACATAGCCAGGCCTGAAGTCAGCATAATCCTTTTCTCTTAGTGACTGCACAAGCCCTGGAGGGACATGGACAAGCGAGAATCACATCACTTTGGAGGTAAAACTGAGAGAGGGAAGAGGGACGTATGAGTATAGTCTATATAAGGCGAGCATGTAAGGTTTTCCAGGTTTTAATACTGGAAATCTCTTGTCCTGGGAAGGCCCGCAGTTCCAGGCACACTGGAACAATTGGTCACCCTACTACATCAACAAAACAGAACAAACTAGAGCTTCAGTATAAAATGACTAACACTTTAGATCTGATTTCATAGAAGAAATTGCAGGACAAGACATTATTTTAAATGTCACATCTAAACTGATTTTATATGGTTTTCTTTGCAGTAGTACGTGCAAAGAGAGACTTTAACCTCAAGAAATGTTTGACCATCCTAGAAAAATGATGCCTGGAGCAAGAGGCGGAGAGAAAGGAATGGGAAAAGAGCTCTCCTGCATGGCTTCCTTGTCTTCCCAGCACCCACCTTCATTCTCATGTCCCTGGCATATTTCTCCAGCTCCTTCCTTATGTCAGCCCTCAGCATCTTTGAGACGTTGAGGACCAGCTGCTTCCACTCAATGGGCTGGAAGCTATGAGGCTCATGGGGGACGTACAGTCCAATCTTGACCTTCTTGACTGTGTGTAGGTATTTCTTGTAGGAGTCCTCAAAGTCAAAGATGAGGTCACTCAGAGTCCGAAAAGTCAATGGCTTGTCCATCAGCTCAGCCCTGCGGCTCATACCCAGTGAGCCATAGCGGCCATTGCAGTAAATCCCCAGTACAACGTGGTGAAAGTAGTTTCCTGAGAAGTAGGTTTTAAAGCTGATGGGGAACCGCTCGATGGAAGGCTGTCCATTGGTTAAGTAGCTTAGACAATCCGAGTCAAGGAAGAGAAAGGAGGCCTTGAAAATTCGGAGCCTGGATGTACAGGAAGGGAAAGTGTCTCACAGGGGTCAGTGAGTCCATCCCCCTGCCTCTGCGCAGGCCCACATCTAACTTTTCCAGACTAATCCTTTTATAAAGCATTCGCTTGTTGTCTTTGACTATCTACTATATGTTGTATATCCAAACCAAGTTAATATGAGACAAAAAGAAAAACTTGTCATTTTCTTCAGTAATTACATACCTGCAGAACAAAACAAGGCACTTTTTCCTCTGCTCCTAGGGCTCACACAGGCTGCATCCCGGCCTGGAACAGCCTCATGACCATCCCTTCTCCTTTCCTGGGTGTCATGCCTCCCTGACCTTCCTCGTCCTAGCTTAGGTATTCTTGCTCCCTGCCCCGCCCCAAGTCAATTGGTAAATCCTTTGGACCTGGAGCCATTGGGAATGCAGAGGGAGGTGGCAAGGAAGTGTGAATGCAGGCAGGGGAGTATAACCTGAGCTTTTCCAGGGAAGGGGGAGCCGCAGCAAAAGCCTGGGATCATCTTTCCAAAACACACAAGAGCCCTCATGGCACTTGGTGCTTACCCATCCTGTATTGCAATTGTGAGGGCAGGGCTTGTGTCTCACATTCTGGCATTCCCTGGGCACAGCACTGGCCTGGTACACAGACGGGCTTGTTTAATGCTTACAGAAAGAATGAACCTTAGGTTGTGGATGCGCACTGCCTTACACTTAAAAGGACTGCTCTCGGTGCAGAGCTAATCCAGGTGTCCTGAAGGGAAGGATGCTGACAGAACCCATCCACAGCACTGGCAGCAGCCTCACCCTCTGCCCTCGGTTTAATCACGGATGGCTCCACTCTCTAAAAATGTTTTGTACCTGCTTTCTCTTCACTTTATCATGTGAGATCAACTGGCAGTTAGGGAGTGAAATCACATCCTTCTGAGTCCTCTTACGTAAATTCCTAGCTGCTTTCTGGGGCAAGTTCTCTGGGGCTGGAACAAGGGCATTCCTTAGCTGCTTAAGTCAGTGTAACAAACACTTAACCCTGAGTGTCTGCTGTGCCCGACAGCCTGCCAGGTAGGGCTATGGAGCCAAAGATAAGAACACAGCCCTTCCCCGGAGGTCTGGTGGGAGATGGACTCAGAATGCACACAATGAAATCAGTATGGCAATTCCTCAAATCATTCCACAGGAGTACCCTAGGACCTGGCAATTCCAATTCTGGGTGCATATCCAAAAGAATTGAAAGCAGCGACCCCAACAGATATTTGTACACCCATGCTCTGAACAGCATTATTTGCAACAGCTAGAAGGTGGAAGCAACCCAAATATCCATCGACGGATAAAGAGATGAACAAAATGTAGTGTATATATGCCATAGAATTTATTCAGCCTCATAAGGGAAGGAAATTCTGCAATGGGCAGGATGAGTCTTGAAGACATGCTGAGTGAAATCAACCAAATACAAAAGGACAAATATGGTATGATTCCGTTCATCTGAGGTACCTGAAGTAGCAAGTGCAGAGACAGAGAGTAGAACGGTGGTGGGCAGGGGCTGGAGGGAGGAAACTGGGGAGTGCTGTTTAACGGGCATGGGGTTTCATTTCTGGGGAGGAATGGTGGCCTTTTTTTCTTTCTTTCTTTCTTTCTTTGGGGTTTCATTTCTGGGGAGGAATGGTGGCCTTTCTTTTCTTTCTTTTCTTTCTTTCTCTCTCTCTCTCTCTCTCTCTCTCTCTTTCTCTCTTTCTTTCTTTCTTTCTTTTTCTTTTTTTGAGACAGAGTCTCACGCTGTCACCCAGGCTGGAGTGGAGTGCAGTGGCGCGATCTCAGCTCACTGCAGCCTCTGCCTCCCAAGTTCGAGCGATTCTCCTACCTCAGCCTCCTGAGTAGCTGGAATTACAGGTGCCCGCCATCATACCCGGCTAATTTTTGTATTTTTAGTAAAGACGGGGCTTCACAATGTTGACCAGGCTGGTCTCGAACCCCTGACCTCAGGTGATCCGCCCTCCTCGGCCTCCCAAAGTGTTGGGATTACAGGAGCAAGCCACCGCGCCTGGTCAGAATGGTGGTCATTTTGCAGAACATTATGAATGTACTTAACGTCACTGAACTGTGCACTTAAAAGTGGTTAAAATGGTAAATTATGTTATAAATATTTTACCACAATAAAAACCAAAACACAATGTGATGTGTGCTATAAGAAAGGCAAGCCCAGCAACCTCTGGGTGGACAGAGGAGGGGCCTCAGCAGGGTAACACTGGAATTCGTCTTACAGGATAAGTAGTCAGCCAGGTGGAGAAGTGGGGAGGAGACAAGAGAGAGCACCAGTCCCTCATGTCATGAGTCACTGATTTCGAGGATTTGTCCCATCATGACGTCAATTGGAAAAGCCTTGGGACCTGGAGCAACTGGGAATGGAGAGGGAGGTGGCGAGGTAGTATGGAGGCAGGCAGGGAAGTAACCTGAGCTTTTCCAGGGAAGTGGGAGCAGCAGTGCCAAACCCGGGATCATCTTTCTAGTATCCAGCCTCCTGGGGCTATTCCTAACCTGCCTCTCATAATGAACCTGTTACTTTAATAAACCACAGTGCTTTAGTACCACTAGCAAGCCCCACCATGGCCAGTGAGGTCCCCTAAAATACCTGCCATAGTTCACAAGATAATTTGGAAGCAAAGGTCTACCTCTCTAGCATGCATGTAAAAGCATGCGCATGTCCTTAAGCAAGATAAAAAGAAGTGGCTCAGCACTAATGAATCCTAAACTCTGGGCTAAAGTCAAAAACAGGGAAAGCAAGGAATGACAGGCCGATGGACACAGGTGTCCAAGCAGCCAAGCCAACCGGTTTCAAAGTTGTTGAGCCAGGACCTGCAGAAGGGCCTGTGGGAGACACAGACGGATGACCCCATTCATAACCTTCACTATCCCCAAGTGGAAAGCAGGACCTGGGGATGATGACCGGCACAAAAAGACAAAGATGCTGTAAACTTTAGAATCCAGGTCTGTTTGGGAGGCTGAGGCGGGCAGATCACCTGAGGTCAGGAGTTCGAGATCAGCGTGGTCAACATGGTGAAACCTCATCTCTACTAAAAATACAAAAAATTAGCCGGGCGTGGTGGCACACGCCTGTAATCCCAGGTACTCGGGAGACTGAGGCAGGAGAATCGCTTGAACCTAGGAGGTGGAGATTGCAGTGAGCCGAGATCATGCCACTGCACTCCAGCCTGGATCACAGAGCAAGACTCCGTCTCAAAAAAAAAAAAAAAAAAAAAAAAAGAAGATTTCGGGTCTGTGTTTCCTGTCTGTGTGCAAGAGTCAAATTTCCCTGAGTTCAGCAGTGTGAACTGAAGCTCTCCACCTTCCCACACTTTTCTGAAATGTCAGAAGGATAAGAACAAAGGAAAACCACCAGCACACTGTCTCTGATTTGGACAGGCTCAAAGGCTGTTCCTGGGTCTATCCCCACAATTCCAAAAGGTTGTGGGTGATTCCAATGGCATGATGTTCGAATGTATAAAATTGTGCAGGGATGAGACTATTGTGTAAGGGAGGTGGTCATTTCAATGACCTAAATCCAGAGGCACTCAGACACACCTCAACAAAGAGTCTGAAGTTAGCTTGTCCACCCCATGAAGGGCCTGGGCTTGTGTTCCCCTTCGTCGATCTCGTCCACCAGCGCATCCCCAGCCAATTGTCTGCCTCCATTAAACTTGCAGGAGGCTTCGCTGAACAGCTGTGGCTGACTCCTGCCACTAAAGGGTTGGGGCCCTGAGCCATCTGCTGCCCCGACCCCCATTCCCAGCCTCCTGCTGGGTTCCCCAGGCACATGTTTCATCTCCTTTGTGGGAAACTGGGAGAAGGATGACAGGAGGGTTGGAGAGGGGCCTCAGTAAGGTTCAAGTTTCCATTTTTCAAATGTCAGCCAAGGCACCTGTGGTCAATCTTGTTTCAGATCAGGCCTGCAAGTGTTTCCACAGGCTGCAGAAAGACTCAGAGATTCCCCTTCCCACAAAGATGTCCAGGAGACCCAGAAAACAGACTCGACCAATCCTCCTGTCCCCAGTCTAATTTTGAGCCACATGTCCTTATACTCACTTCTCCATCTCCTTTCTCTCCTGATTTTCCTTCTACCTCTCTGACTTTCCTTCTTAAGTCTCTTTCATGGGCTCTTTGTGCCAAACTAGACCAAAAAAATACTGATTTCATCTTTGATCTTTTTCTCTTCTCACTTGTTGAACAGTAAGCACAACCCCCTAATCACAGCTCCTAAATTCACATTTCCAGTGCAGATTTCTCTGTGAGCTCCACACTGCAAATACCTCATCCCGACATCCCACAAGGCACCTCAAATTTAACATGTCCAAATCTGAGCTCACCTCTCCCTAAATCTAATCCTCTCCTTGAAGTCCTTCCCTTGGACTATGGCATTATCATGCAAGCCAGAAATATGGAGTCACTGCCGTTCTCCAGTAACTCCTATCTAAGCAGTCCCCCAGTGGTGGTGATGATATATGCCTCCATCTCTTCCCTCCACCTTCACTGGCACTGTTTTAGTTCAGGTCTGCCTCTCCTTTCTCTGCCACTCTCATTCCTCCCGATAATCCCGCAGTCAATTGCCCAATTCAGAAACCTGGAGTTGTTGACTCCTTCCTCATCAACTCCTGTATCTAGTTGGCCTAGAAGTCCTATACCTTCTATCTCCTTGATAGCTCTTAAACACATTCCCTGAAATCCATTCCCATCCCCAGGGCCATCAGTCTAGCCTCACCATTCCCTCATGTAACAGCTCCCAACGGGCTTTGCTGATCCAGCTCAGCCTTCCCCAATCTGCCCTTCAGCCTGTCCTTTGGAAAACTACATCTCTAGAGCACATACCGAAGCACGCCACACCTCTGCTTCAGAGTTTTCATCTGGGTTGCCCATTGCCTTTTGGAAAACAGTCATTTTCAGCACAGCAGTCAAGGACCTAACTGATCTTGCCTGGGACCATCTCTCAAGCTCCTGTCTTGCAGTATTTCCTTTTCCACTGTCCCTTCCAGCATCCATCCCATAGGACTTCGGAGCGTCTTTGCTTTTCTATCTGATCGTGTTCAATTGCCATCACCACCAAGATGTTGATGCCATCACAATTTCTCTGCACCATATTCCTCTCAGGCTGAAGAGCCAGGAGTCTGGTGAAAAATGGAACAGAAAGTTTGGGAGAAGCTAGACCCTTGT